GGCTGCTAGAGGGGGCCAGTGATGGCATGAAAGAGGGGAGCAGATCAGGGAAGACCCTGAATGCCACAGTAAGGTGTTTGCTTTACTTTAGTCCAGACCACAGTGAGCCACATGGAAAGTACCTGAACAGAGCTGTTTTGTTTTGCCAACAATGTGCAAAATGGGCAGAGGGCAGGAGTGAACTGGAGGCAGTTCTGGTAGTACAAAAGAAATGAACACAAGGGCCTCATTCAGGGGACTGTTAAGTGGAAGGGGAAAAAGAACTGTTGCAGAAAGAGGACTGAATGGATGTGGTGACTGAGCTGTGCAGCTGAATTGGAAGCTGCTGTCAAATTCTTGAGGATGGCAGAGGAAAGGTAAGTGAGATGATGGTGACAGTGATGATGTGGTGATGGTGATGATGACACACTTAATAGGGGGCAGAAGGTGGGGAAGAACAGGTTAATGGAAGAAACGGTTTTAGATTTCCTGAGATGGAGTATCACCGCAGCAACCTCAGGGAGATGGCGTCTCCCTGAACCCTCTGTCTGTCCCTCTCTCTTGGCCACATCAGACTCTTCATGTTATAGTCGCTTGCAGGGATGGCCTGAAAGTGGCAGATCAGGGTCCAATTCATTTTCACATAGTTGTCCTGCACTGAGAAGGCTCTAGAATGTGGGTTAACTCTGCCTTTCAGCTATTGTGCTCACAAGATTTGAGTTCTCGTGGGATATACCTGCAGACCTACTTAGAGTGGGGACAAAACCCTCCTGTAATTCTGAAAGGCTCTGAGATGACTCTGGGATAATACCTGAGCTTCCACTGCCCATCCAGCTGTTCGCTTACTGTTCTCCATCACTGCCCTGGTGACATAGTGCGTGACATGGTGTCACGGTGGGGACATATTGGTCATTATATGAGGAGTACAGGAAAGGTCTGTGTATGTGAAAGCAGTGTCTGTTCCCCTTAATTAGTCCACAAGGAAGCTTCATCTTTTCCTTGGAACCCTGTGTCTGCCACAGCCTTCAAGGAGGCAGTGACCATCTTGAATATGGTGAAAAGTATTATCTGGAAGGTAAAGTGAAAATTCTTCGAAAAGCCAATGGTGGGAATGGAAACATTCCTAGCACTTTAGAAAATCTAACATTGTTGAAAGAAATTATCTATTATCCTGAAGTATGCACTTGACTGAGTACACTTTCAGAACAGTTGGAGAATTTTAATATATCTTTTTTAAAAAGGAAATAGAAGGTCAGTGGAATGATGTGGTACATGAACACAAATTTGTTTTATACAGAAAATGTCAAGGAAATGTTCCTATGTGGTAGTACTAATACTCTCTCGCAGACTCTCAAAACTACCAGACAAAAACAACAAATCAACAAGTTGGGTAGAAGATAAATAATATCATCCTTCTTTAAGACCTAGCTGCACGCCTTATAGACAGTTTGCCTCTCTGTAACAACACACACACAAACATGCCTCAAAAACAGGTTCAAAACTGGGTAAGAAGAACTGACCCAAGAATCAATTAACTAAATAGGAGAATGAAGTAAACAAAGGAAAAATTATCATATCAAAATAAAAGACAAGAAACACAATTAAATTAGGCTCCAAAAGACCCATGAGAAACTCATAAAAGGCATAATATGCATTTACCTGGTTTTTATTCTTTCATGATTTAATTTCTAATTTTATTCACTACCATCTGATAATTGCATGAAACCCTTATTCTAACCATGGGCAATTTAAACTATTTTAATTTTTATTTCAAGGCCATGAGACAAAGGAACCTATTTATTGCCTGAGGGGATTTTTTTTTTAACAAAAATTAAAGCTTAATCTTTCATGTTCTAAAGCATAGACTGTTTAAAATCATTTATAATAATGCTGTAGGGAGAGTGTTCCTGGGTATGCAAAATTGGAATGATAAATTTACAATTATTAAAAAAAATTAATAGTTTGGGGGATTGAGTTGTCCCTTTCCTTTCTAGATGGATTTGTCTGAAGCATAAGAGGTGAATGTAAAAACAGGGTACAACCAAGGCCTGAGCGGAGTGGTGGGAAGTTTGACAGGACTTGTCAATGACATGATAGTAAGCCCCGTTCTTACTATTTAAAAATAAATGATGGCATTGGTCCTGGGAACTGCTACCTATTGCTTGACTTTCATAGGAAATTTGTTCTGATGAACTAGAAAGCCATGAAATTCCACTACCCACATTTTCTGACTTTGAAAATGTCCCTGATGGAAATTAGACAAATACCTTTCATTTAAATGCCAGATTTTTTAGTTACACTTAAGAAAAATAATTGAAATGTAGATTTAAATCATTTCTGCTGCCACACTTCAGGATTCTAATGAAATACTTTCAGCTATTATGAGAAGCAGTCCTCAATAGAGAAGAGAAAAATCACTATCAATGATACCTCAGCTAGCAGGACTTACAAACAGGCAGAATGCTGTTCCCTTGGCTTAAGAGCCAAGGGAAGGACACTTTGCTAGAGATGGGTTTTGATGCGAGCATGAAGAAGAAAATCCATCATGGACCACATATTCCCTTTCAGTAAGGTCTTAGGAAAAACCTGAAAATGGCTAAATACATCTCAGGTTCCTTAAATGCTCTGATCATCTTCCTAGGCTGGTTGAGTCCTCTCATTTTAAGAAGGCCACCACACATTCACTGGATGGAATGAATGTGGCGCCATGGACACGGACCTCACCTCTCTTCTCACCTCTGCCAAGCACTCTGGCTTCCCCGGGTGGCCTGGCATCATGCCAAGCCCTCACACTTGCCTGTCCTCTGCCCAGGTGCCCTTTCTCTTTTCTCACTCCACCTTATTTTGTGCGATCCCTCCTCACAGCACTACCCGTCCATGTGTGGTACACACTCATTTGCTCGTTGTCTGAATTCCCTGCCAGGCTACAAGACTCCTGAGGGCAGGAGTATGTCGGCGACTTACCTGTGTGCCCAGCACCTGGGCTGCACATAACAAGAGCCAGCCACTAGTAACTATTGCTACCATTGTGTTATCCACACTGATCTGTGTGTATTTTCTTCTGCACTTGGCTTCTTAAACTGGCAATTTCTCTTTTAAAGAAGAATCAAATGTTCAAATATTAATTCTGATTCCCTAGAACCAAGACACAGTTTAGCCCAAATATCAATGGAATAATATAAATAATAAAGTCAGATAGTCACAGTCACATGCCCTTCATCGTAATATCCACTGATGATAATAGTCTGCCTTTGGAAGAGTAATTTTAGCCTATTGAGATATATATATATATATATATTAAATATATCAAAGTTAAATTCTTCAAGGCAAGGTCTAATAGCCCAAAACTACTGGCTACATGACTGCTTTTTTCTAGCTCGTTACGGATAATTTGGCTGTTTTCTGTTGATTGCTCTCAATAAGGGGAACAAAGATGAAGGCCAAGGCTGGAAAAGTTACAAGTTACTTTTGCCAAAATAGAGTTAACATTGATTTTGCTTTTAAAAAAAAAGCTAATCTTCTTCATTTTCATATAAGCAAAAAAGCATTCTGATTTTAAGTGATCTTTAGTTTTTTCTCCTTAATGAAAATATCAGCTTCTGACCAAACATACAATAAAATGTGTGTATAATGAATGCTCTGTGTGTGATCATTTCACAATCCTCATTGGGAGACAGAAAATCTTATTTAAGAGATTACTTCATAATCTACCTTATAAAACATATACATTAGAGAGGTGAAAATTTTAATTTGTATTTAAGAAATTATTTTTAAAAAGGGGAAATTTATGTTAAAATGTTATTTAAAAGGATCACCAGAGGATTTATTTAAATAACAACTCTTTAGACTGCATTAGAGCTATAACTTAATTTGTTGGAAAAAAATGAATTAAAGTTCAGTTTTCAGCAGCCCTATTATTGCATAAAATGTGGCCCACAAAGAGTTGGGGTGCATTTTAAAAGACATTTTAGAAAATGCAGTCAAGACACCTACGTGCCGTTGCTATGAGATTACAGCACATTAAGGATAAATTCCCAGTCTCATAAACATCTTTTAGGTTTCTCCCTCAAAACTGTACTCAGAGGCAAATGAATTAGATACACAATGTGTTAAAAACAGAACAGGGGCTACTGTTTGTGAGTGTGCCACAGGCTCAAGGAGCATATTTCCTTCCTCCCACAAGTCAAAAGCCATTAGAAAGTGGGTCTGTGGTGCACGGTAGATTTCATTTTGTGTTTTTCTGAACGAAAATACCCATATGATTACATAAGAGTTTTCTCAACACTTAGCTAATCTTTGGGCCTAGTTGGTAGAAAGTCATGGGATTTTTCAACGTTAGGAGGAAGCTTGGAGATGGCCCAGACTCACTCCTTCATGAACCAGAACAGGAGGTGAGATCATCTATCAAGGTCTAGAAGATTCTGAGAGGAAGGAAAAAAAAAAACCAACAAATCATGGTATCTAAGCAACCATGTTATATCTGGCTTGTATAAAAAAAAAAGTGGCACCTGCTTCTGAATAAGGCAACACAATTTCTGAGGAGAGACTTTAAATCACAAAGCCCAGAACGTGAACATGAAGGGACAACAAAGGTGCTCTACTCCAGGTCATGGATTTTAAAATCAAATGTGAAAGATGTAGATGGTATGAAATCTGACAATGGGATGGAAAGGAATGCTGAGATTTAACAGGAGATTCTGAAAGAACAGGAGAATAAAGAACAGGAGAATAAAGGCTGATTAAGAGACTGAGGTGCTTCACAATGGTGAAGACTTCATGAGGACTGAATGGACAACACTTTTTTACTGCCAGATGAAGGTATGAGAAACACCAGCATGGTGGGCTCTCTGGCAGAAAAGTTTTTCATTTACCCTTGGAAAATAAGACATACACACTCAAACTTAAAAAAATGAAATTAATAAGATCCCCTTGATATCCAGTGCAAGTTCCCTGGCTTTGTCCAGACATGCCAACCTTGCCCTGGGCACCGGACACAGGCCTTTCTCTTGTCACCCCCTTACCGGGACTTGTGAGGGCTCCCAGAGCGCTGCTCGTGGTGGAGAGAGGATTTGCATTGGTGGTGGTGGCTGAGGTTTGGGCTGCGGCTGCAGCTGCTGCCAGCGTTGCCAGGTTCTGTAACTGCAAAGCATTCATGCCTGTGGAGGAAAGAGAAGAGCCGCTTCAGCCATAGGCCTGCCTTGTGGGTTTCCATTCAGGAGAGGGCAGCAGGCCCTTTGTGCAACCTTGACCCAAGCTGCCTTGGGACACCTGTGCCTGTCCTCAGACAGGCTACTCTTCCCCACTGTCTCCTCTCAGGCCTGCAGTGCTAATTAGAAAGAGAAGTGATTTCTCTCTGTGCCCTTCTACCACGCAGCCATCAAGGAATGACGAGGGCCAGGCTTGGATAAAGGGAGGAAGCAATTCCAGGTCAACTGTCAACCCCTGAACTTGATAGGTAGAGACAGAAGTGATCATAGAGCAAATGGTAGTTTATTGGCTAAAAGCTCTTGCTCTGAAGTCGAACTGGTAAGTGCTGCCCTTTTCCCAGAAGTGTGACTGGGCAAATGACATCACCTATCCATTTCATGTCAGTTGAGGGGTCACAGTCATGGTACCTGACCTCAAAGGATTGTCGGGAGCCCTCAAAGATGAAGATCTCAGATTCTTAGTATTGTGCCTGGCACCCAATAAATGTTAGCGATTACTGCCATTGAGCTTCTCTCTCCAGATTTTAAATGTAAACACAAATATTTAATTAAAAAATGAATAAAAATGGGGTGTCATACACTTTCATTTGTAAAACATTTGTATTTTCAGTTCGAAAGTATAGAGGGACTACTTTGAACTAGAATGAATCTCTGGTTAATGAAAATTAACATTAAGAGAGAAAAATGAAACTTTGTGAGAACGTGAAGTTAGGATCATTTGGGCAGTTGGAGGGTGCTCAGTCACAGGGAGGCTGGCCAAGCCTGGGATGGGCCAGATTTGGTGCCTGTGCTATATATACACTTTTCTTCCTCCTTTCTTCTTCCATTTCTTAACCCAAAGGTGCTCTGAACAGCCAGCCAGCCTCTTGCCATGATTTATTTTGCACTGAAGTACATTTGAGAAGCTGGAACAACAGTTCTCTCTTTATATAGAGGGATTTTATATAGAAAGATATTGGAGTTAAGTCATGGACTTAATTTTACCTTCTCATGCCTCAATTACAGGTACCGAATAAATGGCTACTGAGCAAATTTAATTTCCAAATTTAAATTTTGGAAAAGGGTGGTAGATGGAAGGGTGAGAAAAAGTTATAGCAATGTATCTGTGAAAACTCCTAATCATTGGTGTGGATCTAAAAACAGCTCCGGGCATGGATGCTGAGTCTATCGAGGCCCTTACCTGCAACTCTGTCCTGACCACATCCATCAGGACTCACTGCATAAAAGAGTTCCTGGAGGCTTTGCTGGAAAATGGGCGCTTGCTTTGCTCAGAATGATCATTTCTCTTCTTCTATGAGGTGTCCATATCAGTTGGCTTAAGGTGAAAGCCAAACGCCTATTCTTCAAAACCCACTTACTTCCTGGGGCTGCTTAAAAGGAGAACGTTTGTGGAACCCTATGAATTTCTGCAAGGAAGCTGCCGACTTCTAGCAACTCTGCTCCATCAAGTTAACACAACAGGTACAGAGCACCCTTTTCTTCTGAAGAAGGGTAAGAGAGAGCCACATTTATGAGAATGTGGGAGCTGAGAAAACTCTGTTCTTATTCCAGGATCACTTGAGGAAAACAGAACTGGGGAACATTGGGAGCTTCCTGGCCACCATGCAGAGCCCCCTGGGCCTGGCAAGGGGCTCTGTTCCTGGCAGCAGCAGCAACGTACATCACACGTAGCAGGATGGGTGTGCAGGAGGGGGAGCAGCTGTATGATTCTCTGTTCTCTTACATTTTCATCATGCAAACCAGATGACGTGACCATATCACCAACAGGCGCTGTGCAGACAAGAGAGGGCTTAGCACAGACTCAAAACCCAGAAGGCACATCTGGCACCAATTAATGATAAGCAGAGCCGCTCTCCTAAGCCCAGGTCAGAAGGTCTCTTCTGGGAAATCTCTGACACGTAAGTGGGAACTGAGTTCCATGGCTGTAAGGGGATTAGCCCCTCATTTGGGTCAGAGATTCAGGTGCTTGGTCAAAGCCTCAGATCCCACGGCAGTAGAAACTCAAGTCCAGGACAGCACTCTCTGTCCACCTCCCAGCCTCCTTCTGAAGACTCATAGTTTGCATTTAATTCAAGCACTTTGCACGTGCTACCTGCAAACTCCCTTATCTTACAGTCTAACACTTGTGGGATTCATCATATCCTACTTTGACATTATTTGCATGTATTTCTTATCTTTACAATGAGACACTATGTTTCCTGAGGACAGAGATTTTGCCATTCATTTTCAAGTTCACGTCAACACACACAGCTGTAAGCATACTAGGTGGTGGACAAATCTACGTAGAATGACTGAGCAAGGTAACAGTGTGAAGTTTTCTTAAACTACTACAGACCTAACCAACCTTTTAGTTTTTTTCTCTACTCTCTGTTAGTTCTGCAGTATGCACAACATCATCAAATACTGACTGTGTCCCCAAACCATTTGTCAATCCATTCTGCAAACAGATAATAGAACCCCGTGTATTCCTCTCACCCACCGACACATGGCATAGGTCCTGCGGGCGAGCCACCAGCTCTCAGTTTCTCTGTTCCACTGCCCTCTCCCACAGGAAGTGGGGGGCTGAGGCCTTGTGTGTGCTCCTCAGTGGCCCCTCTACATTTCTCCTTCCTAAACTTTGCCACCTGAGAGCTTGTCATCCTGTCTGGCCTTACCCTGCCTCCATCTAAAAAGGCCAAAGGGACGGAAGCCCTGGAGTTGGGGGCTCACTCTGTTCCACCCCACACTGCAAGGAAAGGAAGAACGTGGGCCAGAGGAAGCAGAAAGGGAGCGTGGAAAGGAGAAGCCACAATGATCCTCAGCATCTGAGAGATTTATAGGGCAAGGAAGACAGGAAGGGGAAGGAGTAGACAGGAGGCAGGGGGCCCCACAGGTGCCTGTGTGCCCAATCCATTCATCCATCCGCCTGCCCAACCATTTGCCAACCCTTCCATTACTGGGTGGCCATGATGGGCCAGACCCTGGGCACCACTTTGAGGATTCAGCAGGAAATAGTCCCTGGCCTCCTGGAGGCTGCTATACATTGGAGCAGGGAAAAGACTTCTACTTCAGTTCCTGGAAACAGGCCCAGACTCAGAAACTCACTTTCACTAGTGCTTGGTTTGAGGGGGAGAGAGGGCAGCTCAGGGGAGTTCTGGGCAGCTGAAGCACCTGAAGGGGTGGGGGCTGCACCGTGGGGGATGATGCCTGCCTGGATCTGGTTCTTGAGCTGGAAGCTGCCAGCCCTGCTCCCAGACACCTGGGTCTGCCTCGCCTCCTGTCAACATGTGTCACCCTAAGCAGGCTGCCTTCACTTCCGATTTCTCAACTGTGGCTGAAAATGTGGGCCAAAGGAAGCAGAGAGACTGAAAGAACTTACCTAGAGGGTTAAGAAAGTAACTGTTCCGATGCACACAAGCTCTAAGAACATCAGTGCCTAGTGCCAAGGAAGCTCTATTAGCTGGATAATAACTGCAATAAAAGTAACTTAGATAATGACAGTGTTGCTCAGAGTAGAGTGTGCCAGGCATACCTCCCTCTCACACCCTGCACACAGTACACTACTCAGTATTGCTAACAAACCCACGTGACATAGGTGATGTTATTGCGCTGGTTGCAAACAGGATACTGAGGTATGGAGAGGCCCACCTTCTGGGTAACCGTCAGGGGAGTCTGCTTTCTCTCCCCTCCCAGCTGGCCTCCCTATTGTGCCCCTCTGTCTTTTTATTTGGAGTTCTCATCCCTCTTCCTCCTCACTGTCTTTGGGGGTGATGGGAGAGGGACTGACAGGGGAGGGACTGGCAGGACATAGTGTTTCAAAAAATATGCGGCTGGGGCCTCAGGGAACTTTCACCACTTTGGCTGCTTGTGAATGTCCAACAGGGGTTTGTGTCCAGCTGGCCCAGTGTTGGTCCTGCTTGTTGGAAACACTTGCCAGAGATCGCATCCACACTGGTGCTTTCTGCTTGGTTTATGGGCACCAGGCCCCATCATGGAGGGAACTGAATCCGCTACCTTGTCACAACCACATACTCCATGTTATAATTGTGGATTATGTAGTTGAGTCACTGAAATAATCCTTTAAGTTATTAAGGTGACTTCCTTTCCCATCAATTACCAGGATCCCAGACGTCCCAGATCACAGGGTTTGCTTCTTCAGTGAACAAACAGGTCTCTTTTTGACACTTTGCATCTATGTGGCTATTTCCCTTGGTTGTCACCTTAATTCAGGGATTCAGGGGGAACCCCCTATAATTTTGTGAAAAATCATGTGTGCAATGTGAACAAATACTTTTGGTGGTAGACCCTAAAATGTTTAAGAGCCTCTGATTTCTCTAGATAAGCTGAATGAGATTCAAATTCTCTCATCAGTGAGGCTTGGGTTGGGGCAGAGAAGTGACAAAAGGGAGGATTCAGATGAAAATAGAGCTGGACACAGATAGTCAGAGAAAAGAGAAAAAGAATTAAAGGAAACAGCTTTCTCCAGTTCAGAACGAAGCTGTGCTAACCAATAAGCCAACAAAAGACAAACGGCCAGGGAGTCTCCAAGAACATCTGAGCTACAGGTTGAAACTGAGGGAGGCTCCATGGCAGGGCCAGGAAACTGAGGCAGCAGAAACGTGGAGTCCCCAGGACAGCCTCCCTATGCCCCTTGCAGGTCTGTGCAAGGAGCTTCAGGCAACCAAGGCAAGAGTCCCCCTCAGAGTGCCTGGCTTGGCGGAGGCCTAAAGCTCCTTCAGACAGTCTCTCCCATGAGCAGCAAAGCCAGGCCTGGGCTGCTCTTGGGTTCTCTACATGCTGCTCCACTGTATCACAGGAATAACCCTGGGAAGCTTCCACAGGGCAGAAGGCCTCTGCACCTTCAGGGGAACAGTAGACACTTGGGGATTGAGGGCTTTTCTCCTGTCCCCCGTAACCCCACAGTAGGGAGTCCTTATCACTGAGGTTGGCCTCTTAGCACCACCTCTACC